ACCTACAAGCACAAAGTATTGATCTGTTGTGCATGAATTTCACGCAAGCATTAAGAGCCTCTGTCAATGCTCCGCTCATTTCATACATATATAAGCGGATATTTTAATGAATCTACCGTCGTTAGTAAGGACTACTGTAACTTCTTAGAGCTTAAGTTATTAAGTAAATTGTCTGAAGAATTGTTTTCTTTTAAAGCCATTTCACAGTTGGCGAAATGACTGTTTCAGTTACTAGTCTGTTAAGCAATGCTATAAAGGTGATTACTATGTGCCTTCTTCCTTGGAAGGTATCTCTCTAATTTTACCCTACATCATTAAGTTGGTGAAGCAGAGCCTGTGCTTTCCCTCCGCGATAGACTACAAACGCCATTTAAAAAAAAAATCCTTTCGTTAATCTAATCTTGCTTGTTTTTTTTTACTGTTATATGCAACATCCCCATCACAGGGAAAATCCAGTTATAAAGCAAGCGGCATTTTTTTAACGGCTTATTTTGTTTCGTTCTTAGCGACGTATATAAAATAGCAGCTGGTACATTAAGCGAGGAAGTTAACGCGCCAGCATTAACAGAGAGGCTCTCATTATTTAAACCTAGGTTTTCTGAACTGTTTGTGACTTTTTAATAATACCCTTTCTTGCCTGCAGCCACTCAGACTTCCCTAAGCTCACAAAGCTAAGTAGTTCAATTTTTCAGCTTTTATCTTTGCCCAGGAGAAGATAAATGAAAACGGGGGCAAAGAATATTTGTGGTGGTGGGAGCGTAATCCTACGGTTGGTGTGAAGGGATAAGAACACATTCATTTAATATGCAGAAACAATAGGCCATATCGGTGTCTATTGCAGCTATACACATGAGTCACGTGTAAAATAATCTGGTCTTGTGATGGCCTAGTATTAAGGTCAGGGATCTTATTTCTCAACTGCAATAGGCTTATTGTGGTTTATGTAAAATCTGTTTTAACTGCAATGAACTGGCTCTAAGGTTAGAGATTAAGATTTATTTGCTCAAAGGCAGTTGAGCTAAACAAATTTAACTTTTTTTTTTTTTTAAATATGTTTTGTTCGTTTATATAAGCTCGGAATGCAAATAGAAGCTCCTGAAAGAGCACATATCATAATATAACTACATAGGTAAGAAGTCATAAATGAAGATAGAAAGATACTAATGGATATGTAGTGAGGAATACCAGTATAAAATGTGCTGTCTTCAGTTATATCATACAGTGAATGTGACTCTGTCATCTAATCAGGGTTCTCATAGAATCTGAAATGTAGCATCCAGTGTGGATGCCTTTCCAGATTTAAGGTGTATGTAGCATGAAACAGCATTTCCTAATTTATCTTTTAATGGGCTATTCATTTTTTTTATATTTTTGGCTGCTTCAAATAAGCAGGCTTGACTCCCTAAAACGTGGCCAGTGCCTTCGTGCTATTGCCTTGAAACTGCCATACACAAGGACAACTGATCATGCAGACAACAATTAGACCCCTAAATTAACCTCTGTGCATGTGACTTGAATCAACTGATGACGTTCAGCTGACTATCCAGTGCGGAGCAGGCAATCACTCTAT